CGGGTGCGGGGGGCTGAGGGTGCCAGAGCCCCGGAGCCAGCCGGGTCCCCAGGACGCAGGGAGGCGGAACCTACTCTCAGGGTCCGTGGGAAGCCCTGCTGAGGCTCTGGGTGGCGTTGCTTTAAATCAGTGCCTATTCGGGTTATTGAATTTACTTAATTTATTTATTTTTAAATATTTGTATTGATGTCAGAGAGGAAGGGAGAGGGGGAGAGGGAGAGAAGCATCAACGATGAGAGAGGATCATGGACCGGCTGCCTCCTGCACGCCCCCTACTAGGGATCTAGCCCGCATCCCGGGCATGTGCCCTTGGCTAGCATCAAACCTGGGACCCGTCAGTCTGAAGGCCAACGCCCTGTCCACTGAGCCACTTCAGCTAGGGCCAGGGTTTGACTGTTTTTAAAAAAAATATATTTTTTATTGATTTCAGAGAGGAAGGGAGAGGGAGAAATATCATGATGAGAGAGAATCATTGATAGGCTGCCTCCTGCACGTCCCCTGGGGACCGAGCTCACAACCTGGGCATGTGCCTTTTCCTGGAATTGAACCTGGGACCCTTCAGTCCACAGGCTGATGCTCTATCCACTGACCCACACCATCCAGGGCTATTTTTAAATCCATGAGGCACCATTTCATATTTGCTTGCCTCACAGTTACATGAAATGTGACTGCCCCACGTCTCATTGGTGAATGAGAATAACTCTGTACATATGAACCGATGTTTCCGTTTCCTGCTCCCCAACTCACCGGCGACCATTCTCCCTCTCCCAGGTGCCATCGGGCTTCTCCGCTCCCCTGGACGAGCTGCCCGCGGTCCCCCACATGGCGTGCTGCACGCTGGAGCACCTGTACCTCCTGATGGGGCGGGAGCTGCAGGACCTGGAGGAGGTGCCGCCAGGAAACGTGCTCGGTAGGTGCTGCTGGGCGTCCGCGTCCCCCGGGGGCCCTGACACCCGCTCACTCGGCGGCGGCTTTGAAGGAGAGGCCGGCTCTTTCCTGCGGTGCTGAGACCTGGTGTGACTTACGGTCGTTCTTTTGTTGTTGTTAATCCTCCCCCGAGGATGTTTTCCCATTGATTTCTAGAGAGAGAGGGAGACAGAGAGAAACATCGATGTGAGCGAGACACATCGATGGGTTGCCTCCTGCATGCGCCCCGACCAGGGCCAGGGCTGGGGAGGAGGCTGCCGCCGAGGTACGTGCCCTTGACCGGAGTCTATCCCGGGACCTTTGAGTCCGCAGGCCGACGCTCTATCCACTGAGCCACACCGGCCAGGGCTGTGGTGGTTCTTTCAGAAAAAAAAAGTAAGTGCTGCTCACGTTGTCTGTGACGCTCCGAGCTGGGGCCTCTGTCTGCGAGCAGCGGAGTTCCCGCTCCCGGCCCTTCTCGTTCTGAGGTCCGGGGACCTGCTCGGGCCGAGTGTCTTGGAGACGGATCTGCTGCCGTCATTGGAGAGTTCCCTTCCTGGTGTCGTCAGGACGACCAGTAGGTTTTTAATTTGGCTCCTGGTTTGGTGGGCGACCGGTCGGAGTGGCTCCGTCAGCACATCTGGAGCTCGTTACCCGCCTCACAGCCAGAAGCGCCTGTTCAGGCCCGTTTCACGGCGTCATCGTAAAAACCCGGGGCCTCGGAGCAGGAGCAGCCGTGTCTTCCGCCCCGTGTTCCCTAAGAGCATCTCGTCCCGGCTGGGAGTG